AAGATAGAGAAAAAAAGCTTGTCCCCACACGTGTCACGATGCTCGAAGGGGTAGATTTTGTCCAAGTGTCTTGCGGGAGGACGTTGACCGTTGGATTGTCCAACACCGGGAAGGTGTACACGATGGGAAGCACGATCCACGGGCAACTCGGGCATCCGCAGCCTGAGGATAAAACCGTAAGTGTCGTACAAGGGGAACTCGAAGATGAGTTCGTTAGAGAGGTATCCACGGGATCACATCACGTCGTCGTTTTGACTTCGAGTGGCCGGGTGTACACGTGGGGGAAGGGATTGAATGGGCAGCTAGGATTAGGCGACACGAAAGACCGAAATGCCCCTACGCTAGTCGACCATCTTACGGACAGGCTGGTTGAACACGTCACCGGTGGGCCCAACTCCACGGCGGCGGTCTGCTTGCACAAGTCCATATCCAGCACTGATCAAGCTAACTGCAGGGGTTGCGCTTTGCCTTTTGGGATCACCAGAAAGAAACACAACTGTTACAACTGCGGTTTCTTGTTCTGTCGTGTTTGCTGCAGCAAAAAATCCACAAACGCGTCTCTAGCGCCGAATAAAAGCAAACCGTTTCGGGTATGCGACCCGTGTTTCAACCAACTCCAGAGAACCGAGATGTGCACCCCGAGGCCAACCCGCGCGGGGATGAGAAGGAAATGTTCTAGCATGAGTGATTATGCATATGAGGGGAAGGCATTCAACAGCCAAACAGAGATCAAGGACATGGCATCCCTTCCTGACAGCTTGCCAAGATGGGGGCGGGTCCCGCTCCCTGAGAGTTTTAAACGGAGTTTAAGAGGGAAAAGACAATTTCGGACAGCATCGCAGCGGGACCCGTTTGGTTTGGAAGGAAAACTTGTGCCATATTTTGGTCCATTGCAGCAAGGAATCTCAGAGTCAGATAAGTTGCTTCTTGAAGAGGTTCAGAGGCTAAGAGCTCAGGTAATAATGTCTTCAATATCAGATTTTATTATAGGTCAGGTAAACTTGTTGAGTTTGCTAAGCTCAACCTAATGATGAGTGATTTACAGGTACATAGCCTTAAAAAACTATGCCAATCAAGAAAAGAGAGAATCCAGGAACGCCAACAGAAACTGAAGGAGGTTTGGTCATTGGCACTAGAAGAATCAGCCAACTGTAGAGCAGCAATGGAAGATATAAAATCTTTGACATCAAGGGTATTTATTTATTTTTGGAAAAATAGAATCTTTTTTTTGGGTTTGGGTCCGTTTGGAACCCGAGAAATGCTAGATAAAACTGAACACATTCTTTTCCCTAGCATTTTCCAAGAACCAAACGCAGACTTAAAGTTCAGTATCAAGTGTATAATCTACAGGAAAAAAACATATGGATCTTAACTGTGAAGCTATATAAATTGTTGCAGCTTCAAGCTATGTCAGAAGAAGCTTGTGGCGGCGGTACTGAGTGTTTGCTTCAGATCACTTCCGGAGACACCACAGTAAATGCAGATCTTAATAGTGATCAATCAAGCAACATTCTTGCTATTTGTGCACCTAGAGAAGGCAGGGGAGTTGAAAGTCTATGTGCTTCTCCCATTCAATTTTCTAGTGCTACTAGATCCTTGCGGAAGAAGGAAAACCGCGGGCAGATCAGACCAGAAGAAGAAGAAGAACCGTGTCCGGTTGAAGTGGATCCAGAACACGATTGGGTGGAACAGTATGAGCCCGGCGTCTATATTACCCTCAAAGCTTTGCCCGGCGGGAAAAAGAGTCTCAAACGAGTTCGATTCAGGTAATTTCTAACTCTGGTCTCGTCTCTTGGAAATAGCCTCGTTACTTCATTGGGCTTTTTGTTTCGTAAAGGGTTATTTTCTTAACAAGTGAGAATAATAACTAATAACTTTGGGGGTACATTTTGCAGTAGGAGGAAGTTCACGGAGAAAGAAGCAGAAAGTTGGTGGAGCAATAACCAGACATTCGTGTGCCAGCGATACAACATTGATAAATCTTCAGATCTCAACCAGGATTGATATGTTTAGTTACTTTAGTTGTGTGTGTGTGTAATGTATTACCTACCTATCTCCCAAAACAACCTTCTGCAAGATAAATTTAATGAAATTGGTTTTTGTATTGATATACAATATAATTTTATTTTAATTGAAAACCAATGCTCGTCTGGTTAAACTATAAAAGGTCAAATTGGACGTATACCCCAAACATTAAAAAACGTGAAGCTGTATGGCTAAATGTAATTTGGAACAGGATATATATATATATAGAAAAGTATTTACACTATTTTAATTATGGGAATAACTAATTAAATGCTTCTCCGAAGAAATTCGAACGAAAGTGAAAAAATTTAGAAACATTCTTTATATATGAATTTGAGAGTTCTAACTCTAAGAATTTGACATGTGTAACTCTAAGAATGTGACATATGTCATCTTATATGAACACGACATGTGGCAAACTTATGTGTAATTTTGTTAGAATATCTTTTTGTTTTTCCTTAATTTATTTAAAACAATCATGGAGTACTCATAGTAATTATGCATTTAATCCTGCTATTTTAATTCATCTATTTCCTTCCACAACGATTCTACAATGGAAAACGAAATAATGTATATGCTTTTTAAGGAATATATAATTATATATGGCATGTTTTAATTATGCAATCACTATTTCTAACAAATACTTAACGGTATTGTTTTTAGGGTTTAAATTCCTAACTTTCAGTTTATTCAAGTTCTTCCAGTTCCTTCCCGTTTCTTTCAGTTTTTTCCAGTTCCTTCTAGTTTCTTCTAATTATTCTCATTTTCTTCAAACTCTTTTTACTCTCCAACCAATTACTCTAAAAGCAATATATTTTTAATCTATTATTATTATTATTGCTACAACTATTATGTTCATAACTATAGTTTATAAATTATTTTTTTCATCTCACTATTTTTACGATTCACACCCATTTTTATTTTTTCTTTAACTTTTTAATATGAATAATATCATTTTTTTGTATACTAATCTACATGATAAAACTAGTATCACACCCTGAATAATATCATTTTTTGTATACTAATCTACATGATAAAACTAGTATCACACCCGAGCGTCGCACAAGTCATATTTACGTTACTAAATTAAAATTATACTTGAATGATATAAATTGGTATCTAATGGAATATAGAGATTTTACTATTTTTGAATTTGTAATTTTTTTTATTTTTGGGATGAGCCTAGTCAACCTAGCCCTTTAATAAAAATGGAAACTTGTTTAATTTTTTTAAGAATTAATTTTCAATTAATGCTTACCAATATTAATGCAGAATGAAATGTTACTCAAGTCACACACACTTTCTATTTCTAAATTTATAATTTTTTTTATTTTTTAAATTAGCCTTGTCAGCCTAGCCTTTTAATAACTTATTGGTACATACGCTATATATATATATATATATATATATATATATATATATATATATATATATATATAGGGAAAATTATTAATAGTCTTTATTAAGGAAAAACTAATATCGAATTTCAAGGAAAAATTAATGAAAATGCAAATTCATTTATAAGATGAAGAATGCTTATAAAAGAAAAAATTTATTTTAAAAAAATCTTTTGATAAATGAAATATAATTTTGATATTCTTTAAAATGTCATGGACAACATTTAATTTTGAATGGAATATTTTAAAATATAATATTCTATTAAGATAATTTTTTTGCATATTTAGGCTTCAAAAAAGTCACATAAGAAGTCATTTTTGTGGTTCTTCATAGTTTTTAAGGAAAAAAGTTGACCAACTTTGACATAAGTACCAAGTTTAATGTTAAAAAATATTTGTAGTAGCATATTTCCATATAAGTTAGAAAAGAAGAAAACAAATAACATATCCAGAATAAATAATCTACTAAAATAGGAATTTGACAATATTTAACATAAAAGTATAAATATTAATACTTATTGAATAATTTTCAAAGAATTTCATTCCTTATTTACAAAATAGAACTAAAATTAATGCCTAATATCTTCCCATGGAGGTCATCCAATGACAAATAACGTTTCCTTCTTAAAAGTTTCCTTATATACTATTTAGAGTGATAAATAATATTGTTAAAAAAATTTATTTCTTTATCAAGCAAAAGAATCATTTAAATAAGACAATAAAAATAAATAAACAACTAAATTATTAAAAAGATAAAAAATAAATGAATCAAAATTCAAAAAAAACATCATGGAATGGAAAGAGCAATCTTTGTATGTGTTTGAGAGTCTTATATTATAAACTTCGATGAAAAGTGTTATTGTATAATTGTTATATATGTATTTATAAATTAAAAATTTCCATTTCATACATTTGTTTAATAATACTAATGAGAATAATAATCATCATCATAATAATAAAAAATCTTTACAGGTAATATTAACATTATTATTATTATGAAAAAGCAAGTAAATGATTTTAAAATTACTGTTGGAAGAAATAAAAAAATTATACGGAGTATCAAATTAAAAATGTAGGAATAAATTTTAAGAAGTTGGAAAGATTTGGAAGAATAAAATTTTAAAAAATTAAGAAAATTTAAAAGAAACATGAAGAAATTATTAGAATGAAAAAAAGTTAGAAAAATATTGAAAGTTTATGGCGCACTTGGTTGTTGGAAAATATTTATCAAGAAAATCATTTTTTTTGGTAAAAATGATTTTCATAAAAAAATTATTCTTCCCATCATTTTCTATTGTATGATAAGAAAATAAAATTTTTGAAATATAATTTCCATTATTTCCTATAATGATTTTTTTATAAAAGTACATTGTTAATATTTAAATAAAAATACAGATTTTTGTGACAGATTAAAAATATTTTAAACAGCATAATTTATTTTGTTATACACGATCGATACCAAATTGTCTTGATAGAGCTCCATTCTCTAGAGTGGGGGGGGGGGGNGGAGTTTTTTGTTGTTTTCATAAAATTCAAGTTTTTGAGAATTGGGTAAGAAAATAAATTTTCATCCATAGCAAAGGTAATTTTCCTTTCTTTGAAAGAATCATTTTCCTAAAAAATGATTTTATACGACTTATATAATTAAATATTGAAATGTAGAATTGAATTTTTTTTGAAAAATTATTTTTCTCTCAACAAAACAACAGATCGTAAAAGTTAGAATCTAAAGGAATGAAGTCTGAGATAAACCTAAGAAAGAATAAACACGCATTCGTTCTACCCGTACATCGCACGAGTTAAAATGCTAGTATAAAAATAAAAGAAAGAAAGAAAGAGTGGAACTAGAACTTTAAAGGTGTAGTAAAACGCCTTTACCGAATGTGAAGAAGTTCAATTCATGTCTGGGTTGAGGTTCCATGATAAATAGGCTGGATCTCCAAATGACCTGCACACACTAGACATGATGAGACTAAAAATTGAAGAAAAATGTTGCTTGAGCCCCCAAGAATGACACTATAAGGTTGGCACCAGGAGAGACAGTCACGCGCGGGGTGGGGTTCCCATGACATTGGGTTCCAATATCATGGGATGACTCGGGGGCGCTCCGGTGCCCCGTTCGTAAAATTGACGATTCCTACCCCCCTAACCCCTCGGTAAATTCCCCCACCCCGCCCTGACCCGAACACACCCCCTACCCCCGTCAATTGCACCCCACAAGTTGATTTTAACTTTGGAGTCAAATTTTGACTCCAAAGTCAAAATCAACTTGTGGGGTGCAATTGACGGGGGTAGGGGGTGTGTTCGGGTCGGGGCGGGGTGGGGGGGTTTACCGGGGGGTAGGAACCGTCAATTTTACGAACGGTGCACCGGAGCGCCCCCGGGTCATCCACATTGGGTTCCAATGTCATGGGAACCTTGGGGCACAAACATATTGTCAAATTATTATCCGTGAGACACTAGTGGCGTCAACCAATAGTATGCTCCAAAATTGAATGTTTCCGAACATAAAACATACTCCCTCCGGTCCTAAAACCATGGGAGTTATTGATTTTTAAGAGAATAAAAAGAAATATATTTTGATATTAAATTTCCAAAAAAAAGTCTTTTGATATGATTGGTAAAAGTAAGATTTGATAGGAAGATTATTAGTAAAAAAAGTATGATGTGATAGGTAGGGAAAAGTAAGAGTTAAAAGTAACTTTTTTAATAGAAATAAAAAGTTTTTTTAGGACGAATGAAAAAAGAAAGGAGAAAGGTTCTCAGAGACTTACCTCGGCTTGATGACATACAAAAGTATGAAACTTATTGCCAAGAAAAAGCAAATGCCGCCAATCGTGAGGTACGCTATTCCGAGGAAATCGTTTTTCCCGCCAATCCACGTCGCGGTCGAAATAACTAACTTCTTTTTTCCGCCAAAAACATATGTGTTGTAATTGTTTTGTATTACCACAGTAACCTCCTGGTTGGCTTCAAGATCATTCTCTATTCTCCCATACAATTTTCTGAAGTTTGGTAAAGCTGCAGTTCTCATCCAAACAAGAAGGTCCTCTTGCTCACTCAACTGTGACAATAAACATGAAAACATCATTTGAATTCTCGAATTTCAAACGATAAGAGTAGGTAAGTGGATTTGTAAATGATCTTTGTTATGAATTGGAGGAATTTGATTCAAATCCAAGTCTAAATTTTTAAGATTCGCAAACATGGAATTTGAGCCAAATTCGGATTTGAAATTTGAGTTCAAGTTTCCAAACATGCCATAAAAGATTTAGCTGTCAAGATGTCCCCGAGAACCCAAACGGGGACGTTTTGGGGACGGGGTGGAGCAATTATATGAAGAGTCTGTGCACTAACCGGTAAGCTTTCGTTAAGCTTTCCACCGCCAATAAGGCTTCCTTGTTGAAAATTCTTTGGATAGACATTAGAGCCAAACTTGTGCCTTCTGTCACTTCCCCAAGCAATGTCCTTTCGGTTTATGGGCAAATCTCTGTTGCTAATCTTAAACCCAAAAGAGTCATTGAACAAACTCCAAGCGACAAGTCCACAAGGAACAATCGGCTTATTGTCGTTCATGGACTCGGGAGCACAAGGCTTCGTATCACGTTCATATTCCGGGCTGCGTAATTGCTTGTCGCTTCTGCTTTTTACATATCTGTAATGATATTAAGAAGAAGAAGAAGAAGAAGAATGTTAATGGGATGTTTTCCAAACATCATGAATGATCCTTAAAAGTACTTAAACTAAGGTTCAAAGGAGGTAAGAAACACACAAAACCCACCTGCGATGGTTCTGGTAGAAGTTATCGAGCTCGTAATATACAAAAACCGGGCTCTGCATTTTCTTTGGGATCTAGTCATGATCATTGCCAACCAACTTGTTAATCATGGGAAGAAAAAAGTGAACACTTTGAGCTAAAATACACTTAAGAACATCTAAGTAATCACTAGGGGGAATTACACTAACCGTCAAGGTCGTAACACATGTCTTATTCGTGTCATCGTTTTGTATAAACTTGGCCCTCTCGTGATTTGAATCGCTCTCATCCTCTTTACTTGAAGGAATGCACAAGTCATCGTATCGCTCTACAACTTCCACCACCTGCATATCGGTTTATAAGATTGTTAAAGTTGTGGAACTAACCAATCTACGCGGTTTTTAAAAAAAGTTAACACTCTTAAAAGAATTTACGAGGGAATTACTCTTTGTGATGCAGATAAAGCTGCAAGGCCAACAGGCACAAAAACAATGCCAATGGAAATAAAGGTTGCAATGACCTACAAAAAGATCATTATGAATTACAAATTTAAAAGATCATTATGAATAAAAATATTTAAATGATCATACCCATCCTGGTGTTAAAATTGGCTTGCAAGCAGGAAGTTCTTGTTGGGTAAATCTAGAATCTGAATAACAGTAAAATCATCAATAGTAAAAGATCCATTCATAAAAAGGAAATGAAATTTTTTTTTGGGCCTAAAATGAAGGAAGAAAAAGAACAATTATGAAATCCAAAATGTGAGAAGAAAGGAGAAATGGAATTTACATTGTGGTTTTTTTGATTTCTTTGAAGATGTTTGAGAAACCCCATCGCCAGAGCTCATTATATATTCTGAATGCAATGTTTTTGTGTGTATTTGATTAATGATGTTTCTTCTTCTCCTTGTTTTTTCTTTGAGAAATGGCCAAAAGAACTTTTTACAAGGAAGTTATTGAAACATATTCGGGTGATTTAACTGCCCTATGATCAATATAACCACCTCATATTGAAATGGTCCATTGTCTTCAACTTAATTTTTCTTTTTATCATTAAGTAATTAAAATTAAATTCCATATAAATACAAAAATAAATTTGGTGGGGTTCTGGTAACACCAAAGTACGGTGACACTCCGGTGTCACAATCATTTTGGGACACTTCCGGTGCTCTGTTCGCAAAATTGACGTTTCCTACCCCCCTCACCTACCCGGTAGGAAACGTCAATTTTGCGAACGGAGCACCGGAAGTGCCCCAAAATGACAATGACGCCGCTAGTGTCACCAAAGGTCGGTGTCACTAGAACCCCACCGAAATAAATTTATTAAATTCATATTGTTGAATGTTTTTTAAAATAATATTTTATCTAATTCATAGTATCAATATTAATAATAGAAATGATTATGATGATGATATTATTATTTTTATTAAAATAATGATAATAATATCAATACAACAATAACCCAGTTGAATCCCACAAGACTATGGTCTGGAGAGGCGTGTGTACGTAGACCTAACCTCTACTCAAAAGTAAAGAAGTTGTGTTCATATTATCAAATATTACTCCCGTAGTCCTTTAATTTTATGGGTGTCTTTTGATAAATGATTTCTTTTTAATCTTCTGTCATGTTGGTATTAATTTAAAAGTTAAAAGTATAATTTGATATCAACATCATGTCTAGTGACAAAATCTGATATTGTTTAGACGAATAACACAAAAATAATGACTATGATTGTATGCTACGGTTGGGACGAAAGATCACATCTGTAGACTATGGTTGTAGTAGAAAGCGACTGTAATTCACAAACGATGCATTAGGAGCAGATTTTGGAACTAAACATGACAAGAAATACAAACTATCATTATGAAATTATACTTTTTGCCTCAAATTAACACCAAAATGATTGAAGATAAAAAAAAGACTATTTGTAGAAAGATATGCTCATAAAAGAAGGACCACCGAGTGATATTTGATAATAGAGGACTTTATAAAGAAATTCTCTATTATAAAGGATCAATTTTGAAATTTACTCTTAAAAAATATTATCAAAGAGCAATATTTAACCACATTATTTTCAAAGTTAATTTTACATTCATCGAAAATATTGTTTTTAAACAAGATTGAACAATTTTAATACAGACCAATAAAATCAAAGGTGAACTCCTATGGATATCCATATTCTGCATCCGACTACCCGCTAACCCGCCCCGGAGTTTCAGGGAACAAGCTTTTGCTAGGGTTTAAGGTCGAAACCCTAGAGCTTCTCCTCGTCCACTATATATCACAAGCCGCCCCAGATCTTACTCATAATCTTATTGCAATTCCAATCTTCATCTCCGTTCTTCTTCTTCACTAATACATTTTCCCCTTAGATCTTCACGTTTAAATCTTCTTCGGCCGCATCTATTACTGATTACCGGCGGCGTCAATTTCCGTTGGCCGTCGCGTATGAGAAGATGCAACATACTACCCTCTCCGGTTCTGTCTTCTCACGTTTCGCTCTAGTTCTAGTGGAGCTTTCTCTATTCAGATCTGGAGATATTTTTCACGATTTGCTTTTTTTAGTTGCTTTTGATTTGTAGTTAGATCTATGACAGAGACGGAAGTGATGATTATTTCCCCAGATGATCGAAGCTGAAATTACTGAGCGCTCTTTGTGTTTTCTCCCTCGTAGAAATTCCAAGCCAGATTTCTGATCCGTCTCTTTCTGAATTTCGTTTATTCTTTTTCTTCCAATGGATGTGATGATTATTTCCCCAGTTGATCGAAGGTGAAATTACTGTGCGCTCTTTGTGTTTTCTCCTCGGAGAAATTCCAAGCCAGATTTCTGATCCATTCCTTTTGTGATTTCCTTTGATTTTTTTGTTTGATTTTCATTGGGCGTGATGATTATTTCCCCAGATGATCGAAGGTGAAATTACTGTGCGCTCTTTGTGTTTTCTCTTATGGAGAAATTCCAAGCCAGATTTCTGATCCAAGTCTTTTCAGAATTGAATTTAAATTTTTCCCTTGAACTTACAATGGATATGATGATTATTTCCCCAGTTGATCGAAGCTGAAATTACTGTGCGATCTATATTTCTCTTTTTTGAGAAATTCAAGCCAATAATCTGATCCATCTATCTTTATTTTCCATTTTTGGAATTGGAACAATGTATCTTCTGCTTTAATTTTGAATTTGTTCTCATTTGTCTTCATGAACTTTAATATAATACGTAGTATTGTTTAATCTATTTACGATTTAGGATTATAATTGACCTTTTTCGGTGAGGGACAGTGCAGGGCATGTGGAGTGCAGCAATGTTGAACCAGGGATTACTGCTATAGAACTTGTTTTCTGATTTTTCCCTTGGCAAGATGATTAAGGATAGACCGTTTGTAGTTTATTGTTGATCTTTATCAATGTATTTAAGTGAGAGTAACGTTTTGAAAAATATAAGATGTGTGTTTGCTGTTTTTACATAAGCAGTTATTCCAGTTTCCTTGCACTGCAATTTGAGTTCATTGGTCTCAAATATTTTGATGGTCATCCATGGATCACTCTTATTGAAAAATGATATTTATACATTAAAAATTGGACTCTACTTTGCATCCGAAAGTATGCACTTCCACAAAGTGCAAAATCTTTTGATTGAAATAATATTTTGTGCTAAAGTGAATTGTTATAATGCTAATGTATATCTCTAGAAATTAACTTTGAAGTGTATTTTTTGTTATCCTACTAGCATGTTTGAAATATGTGACTTCAAAGAATCAAGCTACTTCTCCCAATATACCTAAATTTCTCCCCCAAAGATTCACACTTAGCACTTTGATGATTTATATTGACAAGCGTAGACATTTTTATATTTTTAATGGTTTTATATGTTGATAATTTTGTAAAAGGCCCATTTTAATACTATAAATGCACTCCAAGGATCATGGACCTTATATTTAATGAAAAAATTTCCTTTATTAAAATCGTTTAATCTTTCGTAGTCCCTCTATCCCCAAATGTTCCTTCATTTAAAAAAAGGTGTACTTTTATAATAAGAATTTTTTTGTAATATTTTCTAGTTTTGCTTTTATTTAGAAATTTTATTTTTCTTTTATAGTTTATTACTTTATGAAAATTCAAATATAACGGAGTATGTTTCAAATATGAGAATTTTATTTTGTAATTCTAACATTTTGTGCATTATTTTCTCTGTAATGAGGGCTCTTTTATTTTTCAGTTTTAATTTCCTTGTTTATTCAAAAAAACAAGTAACATATGCTTTCCATCTCAAATTTGAATTTTTAATTATTTATTTTAAAAAACTATAATATTTCGGGAAATGTTATAAAAAAAAAAGAAAATGAAATAAAATTTTCTTTACAAAAGTAAGAGAGGATTCAGAGGGTAATCGAAAAGAAGAAAAAAATAAAGAACTACTTTCTTAAAGATGTTTTCATTTAGATTTTTTGTTATTAAAAAAATTTGAAAAAGGTCAAAGTATATTAAAATTCTCTTAATAAGGTGTTTTTAAATGTTAAAAAAATAATGAAAAGATCTATAAAAAGAAAATAAAAAAAATAATAGAAAGATCAATGAGGGACTTAGAGAGTAATTTTTTTCTTTTACTTTCTATTTCATATCATTTTTTTATATTCCAAAAAAGGATTTTATTTATTTTTGAAAATAAATAAGTAAAAAGTTTTAATTTGAAAAGTGAGTTTATCAGTTTATGTCATTTTTATTTTATTTATTTCACTTTTACAGAAGTTTTTTTCTTTTTCTTTCATCACATTTTTATGTTGTTTTTTCTTTTACTCCGTACAAAGTGTTTTATTTCACTTTTTTAAAATTTCATTTTCCTTTATAATGTTTTTCAAAAAAAATTGTTCTATTTTGGAAAATAAATAAATGATTTTTTTATTTGAAATGGAAAACATATATGTTATTTAGCTTATTTTTATTCATTGCATAAACAAAAAGATTAGAGCAAATTTTCAAAATGGTCTTTTGTAATAAGGTGTTTTTCCAATTCAGTCATTAATAAATTTTAAATACCTACATGGTTCTCTATAATTGAGATCCATTTTTAAGATAGTCTTTCGTAAATAATATTACTCAAATGATGATTAATTAGGAGATATTTTGGTATTTTGATCATCCAAATTTAAAGAATATTCTCGAAACAATCATTCTGTACAACTAAATGTAAAATTTAAAAAAATACATTGATTATAAATAATTAATGAGTCATTTAAAACTGAAACAAAAATCTTTTAAATTTTAAATCAAATACATATCTTTAATTAGAAAAAAACCATTTTGGGAAAGCACTTTATTATAAATGATCATTTTAAGAATTAATTCTAAATTTAGCGGATTAAAAAATACCTAAATACTCTCAATTAATCTTCATTTGAGTAACATTATTTTTTGAAGGACCATCTTGAGAATAAATCTGGATTATAGAGAATCACGTAGATAATTAAAATTTATTGATAACAGATTTGGAAAAATACTTTATTACAAAGAACTATTTTGGAAATTTATTCAAAAATTAGAAATATAAGAGTGAAGCTTCCTAAGAAGAAAGAAGGGCATAAATATGATTTTAAATTTGAAAATAAGTCGGGATGCGTGTGTGCTCTTTTGCAAACCACGGAGATACTGATGCTATTAGTCCTAAACCAAAAAAGTAATCTAAATTGGGACGGGTGACTAATAACATTCACCTAGTCGTTCATTCACAAATATTCACAAAGAAAGCATTTTCATGCTGTAATGGTCTACGCCCGGCTGAACACGTTCTTGCAAAGTTCATTCCCTTGAATAATTTTGACAAAGAATTTCATCTATATTATATGTACAATATGAAATACAGTCACATAATATAGCCTTGAAATTCAATCTCCACTTAATAGCTAACTTCCATCTATCAAAAGACCTTTTCCTAGTAATCACACAAGCTTCTTCTTCTCCACTCAACTTCTTGCTCTCATAGAAACCCAACAACTCTTGAGGCATTTCCCTAACCTCCATTTCATGGTCTTCTAGAACCTTCTCTAGGAAGTCGAGCAAGTTCTTGTCGCTCTCGATCGACGTGGGGAGTTTTTCCAACAATGCTCGACACTTGTCTGAGATCCACTCCATTACAGAGACTTCATTCGCGGGAGAGAGTTGTTTTCCCGAATAGACATTTTGCCCGACCGACTTCCGTGCGTTTTGTGGGGCCCACCATAGCCGCAGAGTGGAGAGTAAGGCGAATGATGGGTTCCCGCCTTTGTGAATGTGGATCAAATCGCCAGACCACGAACACAGTCGATACATGTTTGGTTCCAATGGAATGAATGCTTTGTCGTTTGGATTGTCTATCAGCAGAAAGCCATAATGTTCTAGAAGCTCCAAGTTCGTGTAGGTTCCGTAGCTTAGAAGAACCTGTGAGGAAGAAGAGATATATAATCACTAAGTAGTGGTCAGTCATGAGTCATGTTGGTGAATGGCTTACTATTATGGATAATGGATAGCCAAATGAATGTTTAAACAATAGGTTAGGAGCCATTAGGAAGTATTGCATATCAAATACGGAGTACCTGTTCTCCTTTTCTGTAGTTTCTTCTAGCATAGAAGCAATAAGCATTGTGATCCTCTTCATATCCGGCATCAATTAGCCGTGCCACAGTACTGCCACAAAGATCATCTGGGCCGTTAAAGAGATCTTCGGAGTTTTCCACTCCTCCGGGTGCATCATAATTGAAGAAATCTCCAACGGGGCATAAACAGCCAGCGGTATCCCATGGTATGTGCATCGTACGAGATGATATCTTCAGAAAAAGCATTCAAAATACCAAAACAAATTTAGCATGGAGATTAGTAGTTAAGTGAAATATTTATAGCATGAAGATGATAATTAGACAATGGATTTGTAGCTTTTGCCTTGTAAGGGCTTGTAAATTGTTCTGAGCAAGGTTTAGCACATGGGGTAAGAGTCACATCCTTGACATAAAGGACCCTACAAATTTCACCTGGTGAGAGATTTAGCTTGAGGGTATATGACATTATTTTTGAAATGAAGTATAATGATTATTTATACTACTTGTAAGGAGTCAAAATCTTTTACAGATTGATGGGGTATGAGTTTTAATTAACTAGCACCAAAATGGGTGGAATTTGGTTTTTTCTCTTCTTAGGTCAATTTGACATGTTTCTCATTTTCTTTCCCTTCTAGTTTTCTTTCTTTTCCTCTCTAACCAAACATAGCGTTAGAATTCTAATTTGAAGCTATTATTAATACTCATAATAGGAAACTACAGAGTAATACTGATATTAATACTACTAATTGATATTTCTGCTATCCCAAAAAGAGACATTTTTTGAATATTGTTTGTCCAAAAAAGAGGCCATGTTTAATGAAAAATAGAGATAAATTTGATCAAAGAATGCTAACATTTTTGTATTATATTAAAATAATTGCCAAAAACAGTTATCGACAAACAGCACATGATAATGTAGTCTAACCAATAACTATTTTTTTATAAACACAATTATGATTCATAATTTCTGAGTGCCGTACATTGCCAAAATTTTAAAGTTGGGTCTTGATCAAAGATGACTCAGTTTTGGGAGCCGGGGTAGTAATATTATGAACTCTTGGGCAGATCCAAAAGCCCATATTACAAATCATATATGCAGTAGAGTTAAAAAGGCAAGCAATTGCATGATGCTGGATAAACATTCCTATAAAAATCCCTCATTTGTCATTTACAACTTAGGCCGTGCCCAATGCCCACTTATATCACAGCTAAGATACCTACAGTGAGAGGTAACATACTTACAGTTGCAGAAGCCCAAAGCCATGCCTTAAGTGTCATTAGATGAGGCTTAAGTTTGATTTCACACATTAAAGCACTAACTTCTTTCAGCTCCACCTTGGCCTTCTGCACAGCCTTTTCTGCAGACCAGATAGCATCTTCCACCTATAAATCATTCCAAACACTTTAAACAAAAAAAAAAAAACTCAATCATCTTTCATGCTCAAATGAACAGATAGCAGAAAACAGTAAACTGCTTTGGGTCATAGCTTTGGAAAAACCTGCAATGCCTGGATCTCAAAATGACCAAAATAAGCAAGGGTGTCATAACTTTGTGGCAACTGCTTCAAATAAGTGTGCCAGCAAGAACTCTTTCCCTTGTTTACTTCATTCAGCAAAGCAAGTGCCAATATCTGCTCCAAAAGAAAGATTTTTTTTAACTTCCCAATCACCTAATTCATTAAAAAACATCCATCTAAATAAGACTAAAACATGAAATTCATCACAAAAACAGATTTATTATGTTTTATCCTCTAAATATTTCTTGGCAATTATACTTTGGTGTTTTTTGGTAAAAGTCCTAGCTAGGTATTTCTCCCATTCCTTAATCTTTCTTCAGAATTCCTCTAAAAAGAGAAGCAGTCCACTGGGTTCATGGCAAAAAAACATAAACATTCAGAAAAATTTACAAGTCTCATTCAGACATTTTCACAAACAGCTTGCGTTATAAATCAGAATACACAACAAATACGTAAAAATCCAACCCCCATCTTCGATCCACCGTGAAACGCACCTGAGTAGATGAGAGAGACGTGTGATTCCGCAGCGCCCTAGAGAGAGATTCGTCTTCCTTCCCCAGACTCTCCGCCGTGATCAAAGCAGATTTTGGAACTCTGAGAATCGACTCCCCTTTGCGAAGATCACGAGCCGCCGCCAAACCCCTCCTGCATTAGGGTTTATGGGTATCATCAAAATGAATAAGTATGTGTCGAGATGTGGACACAGAAGCATAAATGTACCCTCCAGCTTGGGGAAAATGGGAGACGAACAAGGAGTGGCCCAGACAGGAGCGCGATTGGGTGGAAGATGAGTGGTAGTCTGTGATCCCCTGCTCCGCTGCCCATCGAAGAAAGCTTCTAAGACTAGTTTCTTCTTCTCCTTCTTCCTCCATCTTTTACTCTTCTACTCCTTCCCAAGTTCCAGACAATGGGTTACAATATGTTGAAGTGAGAAAACAGAGTAGAGTGTCACTGCTCCAAGTTTTGACATTTCCAAACATTCTTCGCGTGTTGACTTGACACATTTATTAAAATGTAGTAAAAAAAAAATTAAATTTCCAAAAAATCATGTACTGTTAAAGTTTTAGACCTTCTTTTCTTATTAAAAAACAATTGAAAAGTAGATTAGTGATAAAATAGAAAGATATTATTTAAATTTATCCTTAAAAAATAGACTAAAAAAGAAAACCGGAAGAATATTTTCGAACAACCAAAAATAATGGAAAGAACATTTCCAGAGGGAGAGAGTAATCAAATTTTGTATGAGGGAGAAAGACCAAAGTATGACTAAAACATTGAAAATATACCAAAATATGATTTCCATGTTTTTATTCTTGAAATAAGACTTACATTACCAGTCATGTACATTATAAAAAAAAAATACAGTAATGTGCACATGTACAGTGTCACATTACCACAATGCAAAGTCATATTTCATGAAAAAACATGAAAGTCCTATTTTGGTACTTTTTTTAATATTTTAGTCCTATTTAGGGTAATTTCTATTTGTATTATGGATGCCAAAATAGAAGGAAAAAAGACTAAAGTAGGAGCAAAACATTGAAAATACATTACTCTTAAATTGTGGATCCTACTCGTGAGAAAAAGGTGTCAAACTTAATGTAATGGTGGAGACATCGTAGCAGCACTCAAAACTTAAACCATTCATATTGAGATTTCTAAAATTTCACTAAGAATGTGCTCTTTTCGCTTGATATAATTCAATACGGAGTATAATCTAAATTTTCTGTTTAGATCTACTATCTCGACTAATTGGGCTGATCCTAAGCACCTTGGTAACGGGCTACGATCAATTTTTTTATATCAAAATCGAACACTGATGGTAAGAACCAAATTAATCAACTATTTTATGTAAAAAAATATTGGAAAAAGACTAAAATTCAAAGTATAATGTCTCAATTTAACTTGCACTTTGATCAGGTCTAGCTTGGATATCTAGACTCAATTTCTAATATTCCATTTTGAAAATGGCTAGTAAAGATTGAAAAATCCAATGCAATGCAATGCTTACTAATCAAAAATAAATTGTTCACTTAAAATCTAAACTCTACAAATATGTTTGCGAAGTGCACTTCTATATTACACTAAGAAAAACTTAAAACAAGCAGTTTACATGTTTAGTTACCAAAATTGAATTTTTCACTGATTTTTTTGATCTAATCTGATTCTAGTTATATTTAAAGTTAATTTTTCTCTGATCTGATTTCTGTAAGAATAACAGTTAATTAGAATAAGTTCAAAAAAACTTTTAATGTATATTTACATTTGTTGTCTTGTATGTGAACGGCATTTTTGAATAGTATTAGTATTTTAAATAAAATTTAAATGGTATAGATTATCTTTGAAAATATTATAAATAAATGTTATCGTTAAATAGTTTTCTCAAAACGTTAAACGGACGTGAAATTGTTTCCCAAATGCACCTGTTATAAAAAGGTGTTCGATTTCTGACTACTATGCTAAGCATAGGGCTTCTGCATTTACCAAATGCAAGTTTCACTCGTTGCCACCAATCTGCGATCAAAGTCTAATTTACCTTCTCTCAGTGACTATCTGACTGGGCCTGAAATGGCCCTCGGCGGCGATGGGGCTCATCTTTTTTTATTTATAGAAAGGAGTTGCAACAAGAGAACCCAACAATACATGCACTGAAAGTCAAATTTGAATATCAGGAAGAAGATTGCCCATGCATGTGAAAAGATCCACCTAGGAATTGAAACTTATGTATATATCTTCATGTCAAAAAGATTGCCGTTTCATTTTGACTAATCAAGGGCATGCAGGCCAACATGAGGGACTAACTCTTATGGATTGTGTGACCTTATCTTCCAACCTACTCCAAAAATTATATTCCCTTCATTCATAAAAGAAATTCTTGTTTAGTTTTTTTATGGAGTTTAAAAAATAAACAAATTAAAAGGTCAAATTTTCTGCAGATGGGAGAAAAATTTTCTTCAAGTTGAATGATAGATTCTTTTTGACCATTCATATAGGAAAGCATAAAGTTGTTTTAGCCTCCCAAATGCTGAAGACAATTTATGGTGAACTTAAGATCTACTATGGATCTACATGTGAGTAAAATAAATATTTTTTTATTACTTAGATAAGAATTTATTTTTTCAAATAAAAAATATATTAATAAAGATTTTTAATGTTAGAAGGTTTACCAAAATAGTACATCATAAAACACTTCATGCCCAATAGGATCTATAAGACATGGTTTAAACCCAATCCATCATATGAAATCATTTGAGTGGTGTTCAAAAATAAATCTACGTGGGCTTAATACAAAACAATCAATATCATACAAAATATTATATGGAGTACAATATTTTTGTGAATTATATATCGATCAATCATAAATATAAAATGGAAATGTATGTACGGAGTATATAATTAATCAGACTCCGTTTGGTACGCGGAATTCAAACTATGGAATTGGAATTGAGGACTTTAATTCCAATTCTCATGTTTGGTAGCACAAAAATTATGTGGATTTGGAATTGGTAGTGCAAAAAATGAATTGAAATTGGTGAATTCAATTTTATGGAATTGAATCCCATGAAATTTTAATTCCAATTCAATTCGAATTCCATCAATTCCGTGTACCAAACGGACCCTCAGTTTTTCGATCAATATTATAACTTTATGACACCAAACAAAAAATTAATGAAACACTCATTAGAAAATTAATGTAAGGCTGATATGCTAATTTATCATTTTTGTAAATAAAGTTCTCCAATTCGTCTTTATATAAATCTTCTCACACACTATTGACATAATCCATTTAATCTCACTGTATTTGTTTTTACTATTTATTTCATAAAATACAACCAAGTATAGGCTTGTCACTTCTTGTATGTACTATTTTACATCTATAACTAAATAAAATAAATAGAAAATAAAATTTGGCAAATCTTATAACACAAAATGACAAGATGTATAGAGAACAGATAAGTATATTAAAATATTCGTCACATTAAAAAATAAGACATATCATTAATGTTTAATTCAAGAAATAACAGATCACAAAGTTTAATTTATCCACTTAAATATATCCAACATCTCCTTCGATGCCTGGTCAAAGGTATGAACATGGAGACATGGTTGTCGGTAATCTCGGTCTCTTTTTTTCTATAAAAAAAATAATTTAAAAAAAAATTATCGTTTCAGATTTTATTGGTGGCACTCATGCTGGAAACAAAAACAGAGACCGCAAACCAAATTGATACCAATCAAAATGAGCTAAAAAACCAAATCAAAATTGAATGTAAAAATAAAGACTGGAACTAAATCATTATTATTTGATTTCCGTTTTGATTTTCACCCTGAAAAACCAAATCGGATAAACCAAAATTTCATGTGTACGATTATATATTGAGGATACGATTATATGTAATATGTAAAAAGAAATCATAAAAAATAAATTTAAATAATTGATTGGTCGATTAAAATAACTTTTTTATCCATATTATAAATCTAAAAAAACCAAGAATATAAACACAAATAATTAATCTTAATACGTGGTTATATTAACATTAAAAATTGAGTAAATTTTTAAAATGATCTTTCCAATAAGATATTTTTCTAACATTAAAAATTATAAAATGTACAAGTTTTTCCAAATTAAATTACGTATATCCTTTTTTATGTACTATTTAAAGTGATAATTTTTTCTCTCTTCGTCCAAAATTAACTTCACGGTTACAATTCTAATTAATATCTCGAAAAAGTATACTCTATGATTACAAAATGAATTAAACCACTTATACACCAAATTATACAACGCATGTATGCATTTTATGTGAGTGTGATGCTAGGGTGGTGATTCACACATGCACAAAATTGAATATTTTTTATCACACTAGCATAGTGTGTTGTCAGTGTCAATTATCGAAATGCTAATGCATAATTTTGATGTTCTCCAGCATGGATTAATGCTACTTTGATCCCAAAAATGTGACCTTTAATCTCACCTTTACAAACATTCACATGCACGAAACAATATTTAATAGTTATGAATGTTTATAAGATTTGTAAAATGGTAAAGTTAAAAATGGTGGAGTTTACAGTTTGAGGTTAATACAGCATTTTTCTCTAAACATTTCCATGTCCTTTTTTTCGCAACTTTCCATTAACTTCATCTTGTAATGAATTAAACTACTACCTCCGTCCCGTGAAACATGGGACATTTGCTTTTTAGGAGAGATTTAAGGGAGTGTATTTTGGTATTGAATTTCCAAAAATGTCCTTTGATGTGATGGGTAAAAGTATGATTTGATGGATAGATTATTAGTAAAAAGATATGATGTGATAGTTAGGGTATGAAAAAGTAAGGGGTAAAAGTGACTTTTTAATAGAAATGAGAAATGTTTTGTAGGACGGATAAAAAAAAAGGAGGAAATGTTTCACGGGACAGAGGTAGTACAATAATTCATAAATAATTTTCAAAACTAAAAAAAATGTTTCAAAGAGCAATATATAATTAACATATTAGAGAAAGGTCAACAATCTTCCCCCCATTGGAAGAATATCCACATGTCATTAAGAATCAACAATTTTGAAAATAGGATTCCAAACACAATAGCAATGGAAAATTGGAAATCTTTCCTACTCATCATTGCTACATTACATTAATCCAACTTATAATTAGGACTTTTTTGAAGTAAATTCCACAAATAATACTCAACATTTAAAGATACTTTACATTTAATCCATTACTTTATGAAATTTCATTAGAGGTCCACATTATTTGCAAATATTTTCCTACTTTAGTCCTTTGTGAATGTATCATTTTGAGTACTTTTGATTAAAAAAAAGACTAAAACTGACAATACTCACTGCTAAAATGGACCTCCAATGAAATTTCATAAAAAAAAGTGAACTAAATGTAAAATATTTCCAAATATAAAATATCATTTTTGTGCAATTTACTTTTATTTTTTTAAATAAATTTCTTCAAGCCAAGAGAGGGGTTTGATTAGCAAAGTTGGTAGAGCTGGCAGATCTATGAGGGGGAGGAGGATGAGAAGGCTTATTATTCCCAATAAAAAAGCTTCCATTTTTTCTTGATCCAAGAGATGAACAGAACCCTCCATTTCTACTAGAAGCAGAAGATTTCTTCATGATTCCAAGCTTTGAAGAAGATGAAGAAGAAGAGCTATGGCTTCTCTTAGAGGCTTCAAGAAACAGGCCTCCATAGCTCCTGCAAGATTTGAGCTTCTTGTTCAATGGGTTCTCTGGTTTTGCAAGATCCTCTAAACTCCTCACATTTGACAGTGATGAAAATGACTGTGATTTCCCATTGTAATGCTTTGACAACCCTTTTCTGCATTCATAAGATTCCCATCCACACCATTTATTTTGAGTCAAGATTTCCAATAGAAAACCAAATGAATTTCTTTTTTGTGACTATTTTGTTTGTGAACTAAGAAACATGATTTTTAAAGGTTTGGTCTAACTTTACAAAAAATAGAATATGTATTCTGATCCTTTTGGAAAAAAACCATATACTTTGATTTTAAAATGTCTACTTATACTAGTAGTAGTGAAAATAAGTCTAAAAAAGAAAGATGATGAAATACAAAAATTGGTAAAAATAATTATAAAAAAAGTGGAAATAGTGGAAAAGATGAAACATTTATTAATGGAGTGATGATGCTTACTTGAAAGGGAGTTCTTGAAGAAGGTTTGACATGTCTGGCAAGGGTGGGGATGAATTTTCTTCATCTTCTTCATCTTCTTCTTCCCCAAACAAATCAGAACCAGAGGAAAAAAGATCATCACTGCATAATACATCACATGAATCTGAAGAATCTTGAACATGGCAATTCTCATCCCCATCCATGTCTTTCTGTAACCCCAAATTTCTAATAATGACTACAACAATACCCAATAATAATCAGCCTTCAATTCAAGAATTAAACTCAATTTCATCAAACTCCTCCGGATGAAAAAGAATACCCAGAAATCAAAGTCCAGTCTTGTGCATCAAGAATGTAAATAGGCCAAATTTTTGTGGCCTTTGAAAAAAATGGGAGAAGGAAATGGTAGAAAATGGATAAGGAGAGCCTGCGGTTCTGGTATAAATACCGAGGATATGAGCATATTATCTCAAGAATTATTAATTCTGTCCCAAAAATATGAATAAATTAAAAAGAAAAATAAGAAAAATATTACTGAAAATAAGACTAAAACATATAGAATTTGTCAAAATTGGAATGATTTTTTTATCTCCAAAAAACATTCTGTACTGTAATAATGTATTATTCTATATGAACATTTTAAAATATTTTTTAATGATGTATATGGTCATGGTTGACACTGTAAATACATTTTAATTTCTATTTTAAAAATAAAAATATGAAACTCTTACTTTGATATATTTTTTTATGTTTTACTCTTAATTTAGTTTTTTTTAGAATAATGTACATTAATTTTTAAATAAAAGAATAAAATAAGTAATTTCAACACAAATGTATTTCTTGACATGATAATAATAAGAAAAAAGTGATAATTTTTTCTAAGAAGGAAAAGAAACGTGTTTTTTGATATGGTGCAGATTCGGCGTTATCCACATTGCTTTGGTATGGATATATTTGCCCACTTTTCCACCCGTCCCCACCGTACCGTATGAACCGTAACACAGAGGACAGCGTCTAATTAATGGGGGTGACGTTGGTGGATTGACAAAGGTAAGGAATGCTAATACCAAAAGCTTTGAGTTTAATTTTTGATAATTATGTTGGAAGATAATTATTATATGTGCCTGTTTGGGGATATCATTAGCGTTTTGAAAAGGTTATTTACAATCAGCATTTAATGTTAGTATTTTTAAAACAATCTAAAATGCTGACGCTAATCTTTAATATTATTTCATAATAAATGCTAAGTATATGGCTTCTGCAAGTAGCGGGTGCGTGCTCTACCTTTTGCTACTAATCTGCAATCAAATTCTATTTTTTAGTTTAAAAATAAAAAATAATCACTTAAAAAGATATACAGGTAGAATATTTTAAATATCATAATTATATTATGTTATGATTATATTTTATTTTATATTATGTTATGATACTACTAGGCCGATTTTTTAGGGACAAAAGGGGTATTCATTGTTTGTGTATAAATGTGAATTAAATTATGTCGAACTTTAATGTTAAATTTTCAAAAATTGTTACGAATATCTAAGAATTTTTGGGCTACCATATTTATCCAAAAGAATCTAAGAAGTGCTTGAAATTTATGGTAATATAGTCTGAGGATACATTTTATTCAAAAAGTCGTAAAAAGTGAAAAATTCACAAGTTTGACCATAATTATTTTTAATAAAATTTGATCAAATCTAATAGTATTAGATGAAGAAAAGGAGCCCTATAGAGGAGAATTTGGCGCTCCTATATTTCACAAAAGTGAACATCACACACATAAAATGCGGTCAAGATCTTTTAAATAAAAACTTTGTTTCATGCCAAATCCTTTATATATATTATTTAAGACTCGAGCTCACAGAATGTCGACATGTGGCGGGTTTACTTGGCAAGTTTTTTATGAGTCATCCGCCACCTTTGAAGAGTTTAATGACTTGGCACTTTTATATTAAAATATAGAAAGATCAAATTCTAATTAATATGCCTAATATATACGGAGTACCTTATACGGCGACTAGAATATAATTACGAAGTAGAAAAATAAGAAGATAATTAGGATGAGTAATTTTTAAGTACTGATAATATATGTTTAATTTATTTTTATGTAAATTAATATTTCCATTGAATAATAATAATAATAATACATTTAAGTTAGAACAAATTGAAAAGGTTAAAAAGGAGAAAGACTATTATAGACGTAAAGTATAAAAAAGTATCAAAATTACTTATTTTGACATCTACCTCAATACTTCTCCCTTCTAACTATTATTGTCATTTGAGTTTACTTTCATCTTTTTTTTATTGTGTATTCTAACGTCTAACATTTGATAATTTTAAAAATAATTAAAATTTTGATTCTAGGCATTTTTTAACTGAGAAAATTATAATATCCAAAGTGGACACTTAATCATATTGTTTAATAGAGAGAGAATCGTGAGTATTTCTTTGGTGCACCTTGAGTGCGTATCATTTTTGTGGACCTTCTCACATAAAATATATTTTTTTAATTTTTTTATTTATAAAAACAAATGCTTATTTTAGTAATAAAGAAATACTTATTTTGCTCATATGTACGTCTATGGTACACCTTAAGTCCACCATAGAATTTGTCGAGAATCATTAATATGTTTAAAACGAAATTCATAGATTGAAATAAGACTTTCAATGCGTTAAA